GCCACCTTGCTTGGGGACTCTGGGAATCTCTTCATTTTCCTCCTTTGCTTAATCCTCCCTCTGCCAAAGACGCCAATTCCCACATGCCTCCCAGCACGAAGGGGGCTGTGGGAGCCTCCCACCTGGGCCTCCTAGGAGAGCCAGGCTCTTTGGAAGGCCAAGATGGGTTAGCGATGGCGGCCGCTGATCTTCATCCTTGGTCTCAACCCTACCCTGGCTGGCCGGGTGTCTTGAGCTGCCACTTGTCATTTCAGATTGAAATGACTTTTCTGTAACTCGTACATCTTGGGCCTGTTGGATCTGCTTCCTGCCCCACGCCTCCCTCTGCACCTTGTTCATGCTGGACCTGCAACCCTGGTGACCTGGGGACGTCCCCTACCCCTGCCCCCAGCATCTTCCTTCTCAGGCCTCGGCACTTCCATGGCCTCTGCCTGGGCAGTCTTCCTCTTGCTGTTCGCTGGGCTGTCTCTGTCACATCATTCAGAGCCTGACTCCAATGTCATCTCCTCTGAGGGTCCCTCCTGTTGAAAGTGGCTTTCCTACCCTGCATTATTCACTGTCACTTCTTGTCCTTCCTTGTGTGTGCCAGTCCCTGATGGGTCTCCGATTGCTCTGTCTTTATTTATTTCCTGTCTCCCCCACCCTGCTGGGAGGTGAATGCAATTTCTGGAGATGTGTTTTTGGTGTCACAATTGGTGGGGAAGTGCCTCCAGTATTTATTGGATAAAGGTCAGGGACGTCGCTCCGTGCCCTACCGTGCACAGGATGGTTGCATGATTGAGAATGATGTGGCCCCAAATGTCCGTAGTGTTGAAGTGGAGAAACTGGGTCAAAGGTTGCTGAGGACCCTGGGACAGCTCCCCTAGTTGGAGCTGAATTGTGTCCCTCAAAATTTATGTTATAGTCTGGACCCAAAGTGCCTGATTTCTGTTGTTGTTAATGGGGTTTGAACCCAGAGATGCTTTACCACTGAGCTACATCCCCAGCTCCTTTTTTTTTTAATTAATTAATTTTGAGACAGGGTATCACTAAGTAGCTGAGGCTGGCCTCAAACTAGTGATCCTCTAGCCTTAGCCTCCCAACTCACAGGGATTACAGGTCTGGGCCAAAAATTTGTCTGGCTAATTATGGCTATATTTAGAAATAGGGACATTAAGCAGGTAATTATGTGAAAAGGCAGTTACTAGGGTGGGCCCTCATCGAATATTCCTCTTATGCCAAGAGGACATTTGGACACAGACTTGCATTGATGAAGATGATATGAAGACACCGTGAAAAGGCAGTCATCCTCCAGCCAGGGGGAGAGGCCTCGAAGGACCTTGACCTTGGGCTTCCGGCCTCTGGCGCTTAGTTATGTTGTGAAAGCCACCCAGGCCTCCTTAGGACACCTAACAGGCTAATACACCCCCAGACCAGTTCACCTATAGTTCTCTGCTTTTTTGAAAGCATTCTGTATTGGTTCAGATGTCTTTTTACCACTGTCAAATTATTCATCATTATTTATTTTGTTAATAGGAAACATAATCCTAGGGTTCAAAGTTCAAAACATGGAAAACAGGACATGGTATACAGTCAGAAGTCTTCTTTCCTGCCCCCAGAGGCCCACTTCCCCATCTAGAGGGTAAAATGCTAACCCTGAATCTTTCCTAGCTGTGTCACACCTACCTATGTACACACGTGTGTGCTTCCTGCTCAGCTCACAGTCTTCAAATAGGAGTTGTCCACACACAGCCCCAGCTTGCTGGCTTCAGTGACCCATTTCCCCTGTCCTGGAGATTGTTCCCCTAACCTGGTGTAATGGTGAAAAGCCTGGGCCCTGGAACTGGCTGCTTGGGTCCAGATCCTGTCTGGGGATCCCTTTTCCATTCACCAGCTGTGGGACCTTAGCAAGATCATCTCTCCTCTTTTTGCTTTGATTTTCTCACCTATAATTTGGGATAATAGTAATCACACACACTCACACACACACACACCTCCTGTATTAACTTTTCAGTGACCTCTAACTTAACTTGACAGGAGGTCAAAGGTCTCTGAAGAGCCAAGTCAAAGCCTCCCCAGGGAGTGCTCATATCCGGAGGTTCCAGACTCAATCCACTCCCAGGCTGTTCAGGTGGTTGGCAGAATTTGATGCGATTCCTGGGGTCATCCACAGCTCCTGGAAGCTTCTCTCTGATCTTGACACATGACGGTCCTACCTTCAAGCCAGAAGTAGCACATCAAATCCTGCCTGTCATCTCCCTGGTTTCCCCTTCTGCCACCAGTCAGAGAAAACTGTGCTTTTAAAGGCCTCAAGTGATTGGATTAGACCCACCTAGACGACCTCCCTTTTCATGAGCTCAGACTCAACTGACGAGTAACCTTATTGCCATCTGTAAAGTCCCTTTTGTCATATGGCCTGTAACATCATCCAGGTGGGCTTTTTCCTTATGGTCACAGTCCTGGGCATTAAGATGGGGGGTTCGGAGGTGCCCATCACACAACCTCAGACAGCATGGTGAGGTCGCCATCAGTGCTCCTGGTTTACAGTACATAACAGCCCTTTTTAAAACAGCTGGGTTTGTAGGTCCTGGAAGCCGTTTGGCCTTATTATGGATTTTTTCTTCAGTCCTAGAGATTGAACCCAAGACCTCAAGTGCTAGGCAAGTGCTCTATCACTGGGTTGCATCCCCAGCCCTTTTCATTCCACTTTGAGACAAGGTCTTGCTAAGTTGCCCAGGCTGGCCTCGAACTTGCAATCCTCCTGCCTCAGCTCCTGAGTAGCTGGGTTTACAGGTGTGTGCCACTACACCCAGGTGAGGATTCCTTTGTGGACACTTGTATGGTTTTGGATTTCGTAGCCCTCTTTGACCCATTGACTGTGTCTCTCCAGGACTCAGCTTGGATGTCACTTCCCCCTGGATCCCTTTAAGATAATGTGGGTCCCATTCGTGTAAGTTCCTATGAGCTCCTCCTCTATCCCAGCACTTACCATGCTGCTCTGTAATTATGTGGTCAGATTCTCCCCCACTGGACCATAAGTCCCAGGGGCATTTACAGGTCTGTTTTATCCACTGAGATAGCCCACCCCTTTAAAAAGTCCTTACAATGACTCTCAGGAGGCTGGCCAAGTTTACTTCAGTCCATGGGACAGATAACACTGAGGCTCAGGGAGGCCAACTAGATTGTCAGGGGTCCCCAGGCCTGCAGATGGCAAAGTAGGATTCAAACTCCAAAGAGCAGCTAATGTCACATGGCTTTTCTTCCTATTTGTGTATTTACCTACCATCTGAAATATGCCAGTTGCATATGTCATTGATCTTCACAGCAGCACTCTGAGGAGGTAGTGTTATCAGTCCCGTTGTACAGATGAGGAAACTGAGCATCCTGAGGAAAGGCACCCGGCTTGTAAGCAGCCAGTCAGGGGCCGAGCCCAAGGGTACTGTGTCTGTGTGCAGCTGTTCTTGGAGGTGTTGATCCTCTTGTGATTGGATTTCAGCCAAACAGAATAGAAAGTCAGAGACAGGGACACCATTGTTAGCAATACTGACATTACCTGATGTTTGGTGGGCGTTACGCTTTTAGAAAACTTCCTCTCTGTCGTTGCCAAGAATCTAGAGTGTGTAAGCAGGAGAGAGAGATAAGAGATTGCTTCTGGTGGCGTGGTGGGGTCCCAGAAAGGACACACATTCTGAAATTAAACTTAGGTTCAAATTCTTCATCCACCCCGTTCTGCCTCTGGGATCGTGATTAACCCCACTGAGCCTCAGTGTTCCCATGTTTAGAGTGGGCCTAGCAGGACTGACCTCTGCACACCGTTATGGGGATTAACTACTTCGGGTCAAGTGCTGGAGGGTTAGGTGATTATGGTTGTTCTAGGGAAGTCGGAAGCACTAGTCATCTGTGTGCAGATTAAATCAAGCAAGAAAGTCCTAATCTAACCAGAATCAGGGTGGAACGAAAGAAAATTCACTGATCTGTAATTCTGGGGCTGTCAGGAGATGTTCCAAGCCATTTTATAAGAAAGTGTTCTGTGGTCACATAACGGAGAGACACTCTGTACCTCATCCCCCCTCTCACATTATCATAGGGAAGACTTCAAGAAGTCCTGCAATCCATCATGCCCTTGGTTCTCCCTGACATTTTCCCAGCTTCTCAACCAGTGAACCCTTTTCCCGAGGGGGATGGGACACACTGTGCTCCAGAATCTAGTTCAGGGATCTGCAAACTACACTCTGTGGCCCACTACTTGTTTTTGTAAATAAAGTTTTATTGGGACACACTCAGCGCCCATTCACTAATGTATTGTCTGTGGCTGCTGTTGAGCTACCATGGCAGAGTTGAGGAGAGGTGACAGAGATAGAAAAATTGAAAGAAATCCAAAATATTTATCATCTGGTCCTTTAAGGAAAAGTTTGCTGACTTTGAAGTTAGTGTGAAGAGGGAGATCATATGGTGTGGCCACAAACCAGAGGATGCTGGGGGCTGCCTGAAGGGAGCTGAAAGAGGCTGAGTCTCCAGAGGGAGCATGGCCCAGTCAACATCTTGATTTTTTTTTTGATATTTATTTATTTTTTAGTTGTAGTTGAACATAATGCCTCTATTTCCTTTATTTTTATGTGGTGCTGAGGATTGAACCCAGGACCCCACGTGTGCAAGGTGAGCATTCTACCACTGAGCCACAACCCCAGCCCTTCAACACCTTGATTTTGAAACTGATCTCAGAATTCTGGCCTCCCAGCTGAGAGAGTGAATGTCTCTTGTGTTGTCACACAGTTTGTGGTGATTTGTTAACAGCAGTCGCAAAAAACTGATAACAGGTGATTATGCCACCATAGGTATCAGAGAAGGAACTTGTCCATCTCTTGCCAGCGACATCTACAGCAGTAGAGGAGTCATCTGGCCGTATGTGCCCCAGTAGAGACAGTGACGCCCTGGGGTGCGCTGTCACCACCTGTCTCTTGGGTAGTGCTTTATCCTCATTCCCCAGCTTTTAGTCGGCTTTTTCACTGCTATGACTACAGGGTCTCACCAGAACAACTACAGAGGAGGAAGAGCTTATTGGAGGCTCACGGTTTCAGAGGTCTCAGTCCAGAGAAGGCCGGCTCCATTTCTCCAGCCTAGAGCTGAAGCTGAACATCATGGCGGAGCTTGTGGCAGAGGACAGGGCTCCCACCATGGTGATCAGGAAGCAGAGAGAGGTCTCCACTGGCCAGGTACAAATATAGACCCCCAAAGCCACGCCCCAATCCCCGCCTCCTCCAGCCACACCCACCTCTTCAGTGACACTCACTTAATCCCTGAGGAAAGGCTGATTGGGTCTAGAGTCTTACAACCCAGTTATTTCTCCCCTGAACCTTCCTGCATGGTCTTACATGTGACCTTCTGGGGGACACCTCACATCCAAACCATAACACCCTCCTTGTTCCATTTGTCCCTGGTCGGTCACCTGTATAAATCTGAGATTTTTCATTTCTAGATTACTTTGTAATATTTTTAAGTTATACAAACGTGCTGAAAAGAATATGTAATAGATCTCTGTATCTATAACTCTTGCTGTTCTTACCCACATTCCTCTTTTAAAGAGCTTAAACCCCACCCAACTGGCCTCACTGTATTAATTGTTAATTAATACAGTTAATACCCCCTGTATAATTGTTTCCCTTCAGTATTAATTAGGGTAAACCACATACTGTTGCCAAAGAACATCAGAGTCTCAATGGCAGAAGCCAGTGCTTTACTGCCTTGTCACCATTGTCTAGTGCAGGTCAGCTAAGATGCTCCGCCTGCTCTATGCAGTCATTTAGGGATCCAGGATTCCCCTAGGGAGTGAAACCACCATCCCCTAGGACTCCCCTGGGACCCTGTTTTTCAAATTTAAATGTTCATAAAAATCATCTGGTGAGCTGTTCACACTGATTCCTGGGCTTCCCTCTGCAATTCTGATTTCTAACAAACTCCCTGGTGATGCTGATATAACTGGCCCATGGGCCACACTTTGAGTCGAAAGGGGCATAGGAAATTTCACACCAAGGAGGGCAATAAGGAAGGGGAACTCGGAGGAGTGCGTGGAAAGTTTTAGGCACCAGGAAGTAAGGCAGATCCACTGCACCCTCATTCTCCTGTTGCCCAGGACTCAGGAGGCCCCACCTAACAGCACGGGAATCTGGGAGACTCTTATCCTCCTGAGGCCTGGGGAAACTCCTTGGGATTTGAGGAACTTAGTGGCAGTATCTCTGCCACATCCTCTGAAATGTACTTATTCTCTCTCCCACCCTAGAGGTAACCACTTTAGTTTATTTGCTACACATGTATATCCATAAACAAGATACAGTATGTTTTCAGACATAACAGATTAACACCAGTGATACTGTGTGCACATCATTTTGCAACATTACATTGTATTTTCGAAGTTTGTGTTCATCTGCACCACTCCAAGTGTGCCCCCTGGACTGGCGATCTCAGCATCATCGGGCAACTTGTTAGAAATGCACAGACTCTGCCCCAGATGACCTGAGTCAGCGAGTCAAGGGCTGAGGCCTGGCCCTGGGCTTTAACAAACACTCTGGGTGATCTGATGCATATAGTGATCATTACCCACATGGGTAGCTCTAAGTCTCCACTTATTCTTTTTTTAAGTGTCATATTTCCCAAGGTGTAGCCATCCAGTCCCTTAGTTCCTACTACGAGCTGTTAGACTCTTTCTTTAATGTTTTACTATTTATTATGAACAGTACAATAAGGAACATCTCTGCACACATCTAGAAATGGAACTGCTAGATTTTAAGATGGACTGCTTTCCGCTTTACCCAGAATCCTCGGCCCTGGGGAGGCCCCTTGCTGTTTGATGTGTGCTTGCCTGGCCCAGGCAGCCGACCTCCCTGGGAATGCCCCTCACCTGCCTGCACCAGGCAGCTCCTCCAGAGAAGCGGAACCAGTAGAGCACATGAACCTAAGAAGTTTATTTCAAGGAGTTGGCTTGCGTGATTGCAGGGCCAGCTGGGGTCTCAGGCAGGTGCTGCTGCTGCAGCCAGAAGCAGAATTTTCTCTTCCAAGGAAAAAAATCTCAGTCTTGCTCTTAAGGTTTTTCACTGGATTAGATGAGGCCCACCCAGATGATAGAGGACAAACTCTGTTACTTAAGGTACCTGACTATAGATGTTCACCACACCCACAAGACACCCTTCTGGCCAGACTTAGGTTAGCATCGGGCCTGGCAAGCTGAATTGGCTCAGAAACCTAACCCTCTCACTCCCCCATCCAACCAGGTGCCGTCTTTGAGGTCAAGGCCAGTGTTTTACAATGGCAAGAACATATCCAGTCCAGTTATCAACATCTTAAAAATCTAAAGTGGTTGTTGAGTTAGAGCAAAAACCACTTGATCTTCCTCCTCCTAGCTACTGCTATGTGGCGCTGCATTAGCAGATTTCCCGTTAGCCTTTGTGTTCTGGAACGAACCTCCCTGAAGCAGGATGTATTTCCCTTTGACCAGGCTTCTGGATTCTGCATGCTTCTGTCCTATTAAGATTTTTGTGTTCGTCGGAATGCGTGTTCCTCCATCTCTGGAGGTGACGTCCCCAGAATTGCTCTCATTGCTTCCACTCATTTCCTTGGCTACCGCTCAGTCACCCTAGCCACCTAGCAGACCAGACTGTCCTCTTGCAGCTGGTGCCAATGGACCTAAGCAAAAGTCAGAATTCTTACTTTGAAAGAGGAAGGGAAGAAGGGATGTTAAGAGGCATCAGTGGTCTCTGTCCCCAGATGTTTGTTTATCCCTCGTTTATAGATGAAAGACCTAGACTCAGCAAGGCATGTTACCTTACCCAGCCAGGGTCACACAGCAAGTCTGTGTTGGAGCAATGAATTGAAAGGCCAGGTCTCCCAGATGCCACAGGAGATGCCCCCCGGAGCCTACAGCAAAAATAGAATAATAAATGTTATGTGTAATACAGAACGTAATGACGGATAGCTAATGCGCCTAGCACTGTCCTGTCTCTATTGACTTACTTCATCCTCTTAGCGCCCTACAAGGTAGATACTCATATTTACCACCAGTTTGCCAGATGAAGAAACTGAGGCACAGAGAAGGTAGGTGACTTGCCAAATTTAGTAAATAAGTGGCAGGGCTGGGACTTGAATTCTGACTTCTAGTTCCAGAACCCACATTCTTTCTGGGGCAGGGGCAGGGCTTCATGCATGCTAGGAGAGTGCTCTACCACTGAGTGATGTCCCCAGACCCTTTTTCTTTATTTTTTTAAGTTTTGAGACAGGGTCTTGCTGAGTTGCTGAGGCTGGCCTCAAACTTGCAATCCTCCTGCCTCAGCCTCCAGGGTTGCTGGGGTTACAGGCATGGGCCCCTGTGCCCTGCCAGAATGAACATCCTTAACCACTGCCCAGCTGCTGCCTCTCCCCACCTGCATGCTGCTGCCCAGCTGCCACAACTGCAGTGACAGCAGCGACTGCTCCACACCACAGGACACATCAGAACCACGCCCTGCCAACCAGGCACCGCCCGCTCCAGCTTGGCCCCCTCTGACCCACAGCCTCCTCCTTCAGCCACCCAGCACCCCCTTCTCTGTGTCTGGGGACAACACATTTTTTTGTTGTTCTTGTTTTGTTTTCTTTCCTTCACTCCGTTTCCTGGAAGACTCTCAAAGGCCACATTCTACCGCCAAGGGACCCGGCAGGGACAGGGCCCCATGGGCACCTGGGATTTCCTGAACCCCAGCCTCCATGGGTGTGTGGGAGGCCGTGTTCCTTATTTATTGAACTCGTCCTGCCCAGCTCCACACCCCCCAAGCTGTTGTTCCCCGCTGGGGAAGATGAAAAACGGCCCCAGACAATGGGAGACAAGGCACGCCACATGGCCCCCGCAGTTTAATTTCCTTTAATTCATTTTATATTGAACCAAATGATACTGTTTGTTTTTAATGGCAAACACTCAGCGCGGAGGAGGGGCGGCCAGGCCTCCTCCGGGGGAAATTAGGAACACAGCTGCTATTGCGAATCCACACTCCCCCTCCTGCCCCCCAACCTCCACCCCACTCCTGTCCCCATCGCGGGGCCTCTGGAAATCCATTTCCAGGTTGAAAGATGATAACTTTTACCAGCTCAGATGGTCGCTGTCCAGAGAAGGGCCTGGCTCCACCCCAGCTGCCGTCACCTCCAGGAACCTTCCCATGTGGGCCCAAGACCCGCCTTCCCTGGGAGTGCCTGAGTACCTGGGAACGGGCGCTGTGGCTCCTTCTGGAGAAGCACTCAGCCCAGGCAGGACCCATCCAGTGCCCTCTCCCAGGAATGGGAGAGCACGAAGCTGGGTACCCTGAGAACCAAGCGCCTCCATTCCTTCTGCTTGGGAAGCACACAGGCCAGGGCCCGAGTCTTGCTTCACCAGAATCCACATTTTAACTCCATCCTCAGGGGACCAGGTGCTCAGAAAGTTGGGGAAGCAGAACGCAGAGGTGATGCCACAGGAGATGCCCCCCGGAGCCTACAGCAAAAATAGAATAATAAATGTTATGTGTAATACAGAACATAATGACGGATAGCTAATGCGCCTAGCACTGTCCTGTCTCTATTGACTTGTTCTGCTCTGAGGAGTCTGGAATTCCCTTCCTGTGGCCAAGAGGTGCAGTGCTTCTTTGAAGCCTCAAATAATCCAGAATCTTCCAAAGGCCCCTTATGCTGAAGTACGTGGGCGTCTGGTGCAGTTCTTATGGGTAAAGGGAACTTGAAAGAGGAGCTGGCCCCAGGAAAGGCTGCTGCAGGCCTTGGCCCGCCTGTGGCTTTGGTGGAGGCCAAGCCCAGATGATGAACACCCAACTTGGACACCCTGGAGACCTGGCCCGTTCCTCAAAGACCAGGATACACCCCCACCCTCATGTTTGCAGCCTCTTAGACCCAGAAAGACCTGCTCCACGGATGAGGAAGCCGAGGCCCTGCAGTGACTGCTTCCAGGTCACGTGGTACATCCTCTCCTGTACTTGAGATGTTTACTGGATGCTGGCAGAGTGCCAGGCACTGTGCCAGAGGGCGCTGCCCAGACCCAGGACTCAGCCCAAAGCACTTACTGTAGTGGGGGGCACATAGGGAAGCAGTAACCCCAGGGCCTTCATAGGGACCTCTATGCCAGACCCCAGCTAGGCCTCTCTAGTGAAGGTGACATCCAAAGTGAATGTTGAAGCATGAACAGAGGTGATCCAGGCCACACAAGGCCAGAAAAGGACACCAGGGAGAGGGTCAGCCAGAGCCATGGCATGGAGGTGGGCAACAGCTTGGCGTGTGCGTTTCTCCCGAGAATTCTAGAACATCGAATTCCTTGAGACAAGCCCCCTGCGGGTGAAAATGATGTCTGTCGTGTGTCTGCTACACACAGGGACACAGCTGCTGTGCAGTGACCGCAGGGTGAGTGGACATCAGGAGTTGATGTGAACCTGTGTCCTGGGCAGGACAGGGAGGCCCGAGTCTTTGGCTCCCAGGTCCTACATTTCCAGCCACATTGTGGGTGTGTGGTGGCCACCAGCTCTCTACCCTGGGCGCTGCAGGGATTCGTTACCCAGCTTAAGTGCGCTCCTCCAGACGAATGATTAGGGAGGCTGCCTAGCTCCACAGGGCAGCCCCAGGGATGTCCACTCCACCCCCTGTACGGGGCAGCCCTGGAGTCGTGCCTGGCTGGCACTCAGCAGTGGCCTCTTGTTGGCTTCCGCTGCTTGGGTGGGCGGGACAGGCCTGCTGCCATGTTTTCCAATGTTCCTCCTCCCCTTGGGGGCAGGGGTCGGGGAGGAAAGGGAGTCAGCATTGAGACTGGTCCCAGGGAGCCTTGAAGCCTATCTAAAAAGATTCCATCCATTATAGATTGAAAAGGGCTCCGGGTCTGGAGTCAGGCAGCTCTGTTTGAGTTCTGCCATTTCCATGAGGATTCCCTCTGGCCAGATACCCCCATCACTCTGTGTCTCACCTCCTGTGTCAGAAGAGAACTAACTAATCCTTGTCTCCCCTCAGGATTTGGGGGAAGATTTTGAGGTGAACTAAAACATAAGTTTGGGCAGCAGAGGTAGAGGAGCTCTCGGCCATTCTGGGCACATGTAGACATTCATGTATGTTTCTTCCTCCTGTGCCTTCTGCACGGCCCTCCCGGGCAAAGCCAGGCCTTGCTCCTGCCCCACCCCATGAGCCACCCGCTGAGGCCTGGCCAACTTCTAACTCTTATCAGGGTCCAGAAGTACCATGTTTGGAATTTTGAATGAGTCAAAGAAGGAAGAACATCTTTTGCTTACTAAGTGCCCAGCCCCGGCAGACTTGTCCCCATAACTGCACACCCTTGGGTGCACAGTTCATAGCATCCAGCTCCCTTGCCTCCTCTGAAGACATGGTTATTGATGCAGGTTGAGGAAATACCTGGGTCCAGAAGTGTTTCTAATTTCAGGGTTTTTTAGATTTTGCAATATTCACAGAGATTTGACCAGTTGAACATCCCTCATCAGAAAAATCCAAAACCCTAAATTCTCCAAAATCTATACAGTTCAAAAAGTTTCAGATTTTAGAGCATTTTGGGTTTCAGATTTTCAGATTAGGGATGCTCAATCTATCAGTGATTTGGGAGGGTTAGCACTAGAGATTTCAGTTCCTGCTGAATCTTAGCTTAGGGTGTGACCTTGCTCTAACTTCAAGGGGCAGAGAGAGGTGGGGAGAGGGAATGAAAGACCTAGGACCCAGGGAGTCCACCCCTAGGACAGAGACTTGTTCCCTTCTGTGTCCTCACTCTTGGTTTCTTCAAAAAATACATGCTGAATGACGGGGACAGATGCAGAGGCAGGGGTGCTGAGGAAAGGAGGAGGTGCTGTCTGTTCTCTTATGGGTTTGACCAGGTCACTGCAATCCCCTGGGGCTTGGAATTATCAAGCATGGAGAGAAGAGTTGTCCCGCTCTGGCTGAGGCAGGGGTAGGTGCCCTGGGTCTAGGGCTGTTCCTGACGTAAGAGGAAGAAGGCAGCATCCTGAGAGTTTCAGAACTGTGACAGCCTGCAGTCTTCTGGCACCTGCCCGCCTGCCCTGGCCCTGGCCTCTCCTTCCAGCCTGACCTCCATCGGTCACTCAACACTCATTTAGAGTTTCTCTCAGCCCCCCTCCAACCCCAGATTGTGCTCTTGTTCTGTCACCCCCAGGCTTTGCTCCCCTTACCAGGAACACCATCTCCCCAACCCCAACACCGTCTGGTCTCTCTCAGGTCCCTGTTTAGACACCACTTCCACTGGGAAGCCTCGGCCTTTCCCTGGCCCCAGGTAGGGCTGGGTGGCTCACCAGTGTGCTCCCACAGCCCCCGGGCTGCCTCTGTTCTGAATGCATCACAGGATGTTGTGATGGCTGGCTTGTCTCCCCCACTAGACTTCACACCCACTCAAGAGGAATCCGGTCTCTTGCATTTCATTTCATCCCTGGCATAGTCCACAGCACCGGAAGTCATGAGAACCTTGCGAAGGCACGTTTTCTGAGGCAGGCAGTGTGGTGGTATTTGGGAAGGGCTGCTAGGCTCGGTCAAGCAGGTTTCGTCTCAGCTGCTCTGCAAATTAGCCATGGGCCTTGGGTGAACCTCAGTTTTCTCGCCTGTGTGATGGGGATACTAACTACACCATTGTCAGGATTCGGCAAGATCATGTCAGTCAGAGCCTTTTGATCACTGCAGCTCAGTAAGTAGCAGCCAGAGTCCATTATTTAGTGAAAATAACCAGGTAAGCAGAGGAAGGGGAACTGGGAGGAAGTTGCCACCCTTCCCGTCATTCCCTAGGAGTATAGTAATTGTCACTGCTACATTACAGAAGCCAGTCACTCTGCACCTGCTCCATGCTGGCACTGTCCTGGGCTCTTTAATTCATCCATCTAGCTGCTGATTCATTCAACCAGTGTTTTGTTTTTGTTTTTTGTTTTTTGACTGCCTACTCTGTGCCAGGCTCAGGACTATGTCCTGGAATCTAATAGTGAGTGAGCAGATTATCTGCTCTCAAGGGACTTACACACACAAGATACTGAAATAAATAAGCACCGTGTCCAGTGGTAAAAAATAAAACAGGAAATGCTGAGGTTGAGGCTACTTTTTCAATAGTGGTCAAGGAAGGTCATTGAGATGGTGACATTCATCCACAGTGGTGCCCTTGTCTATGTGGTTCACAGTGCTGGGATCTAGACCACCAGGAACAGAGGTACCCCCTGCCCTCTGAATCCCTCTGTCCTTCCCTGAACCTTGTCCCCTAGTGCTTGAAGAGGCCGCCAGCCTCTTCTCCTCTGGAGAAGACCTGCTGGTGCCGGGCAGTTGCAGCGCAGAGCATTTGTGCTTACAACTGTAGCTGACATGGGGACATGTAAGCACATCCATCCACCTGGGACTAGGACAGAGGGAAGAGGCCGCCTTTCCACAGCTAACAGGGTCCCAGGCCACTTGGGGCTTAATCATCAACATCTTATAATTGGGCCTCTCCAGGGTCCTGGGAGCAGGGCCCTGTTGCAAGGAGGCTCCTAGAACACAGTTGCTGGGGCACGTGGCCTGGGCCCTTCTGTTCATGGGGCCAAGGTGCTCAGATCAAGGGAACTGTGGCCAATGAAACTGGGCCTCCCCTGCTGCTGCTGCTGCTGCTGAGCAGATCTCTACTCACAGCCTGGCAACTCCTGGGGAGCCTCACTCCAGCCCCAGGGACAGATGTCAGCTGGTCCCCAGGGTCAAGCACCAGGAGACATCACCGCCACTGGTATGCTTTCTGACCTCCTCATCGTGGGCATGGGAGGCAGAAGAGCAGAGAAAGGACTTTTGTAGGAAAGTTTTGTGTTTTTTTTTTCACATTTTCCACAGCTGTAGGCTTTGCTCCTGAGGCTGATGTGCTTGTACATGAGAAGATCCACACTGACATCAGAGAGACATGGATTCGGGTCCCACAAACTTCTCTGAAACTGAGCCTGTTTCTCTCACAAATTGGGTTTATAATTTTCCCCCTGCCTCACCAGGCAATTACAGTCAATTTTTAAAGTGAGCAAGCAAATTTTCAGCTTGTGGCTTTTTAAAAATAACAGTTGTAAAAAAACAATAACAAACAGCCATGTCCCCAGCGCAACATACGAAGGCCTTGGCAATCCCGAGCATGGCTCTTAGGTTCCATCCATCTCCTTCCCTCCCTCTGCCCTACAAGAGTTTTGGGGTTGCTGTCCCCTTGTTTCCCTTGTGTCTGCTTTTGTGTAGTTTTTATATCTCCCTCCTTGCTGAGCTGTCAGTCATGAGTGTAGCAGGCACAGGCAAGGAAAACCTTCTCCCTTCTACACCTGATTCCCTTCAAGTTCCTCCTCTCAGCCTCTCCTCTCTGCTACCAAGCAGGCACACTGCTAGTGGGGAAACCAGAGCATCAAGCTTGTCAGTGCTGTAGTAGACTTACAATGAATAGGCTCTGAGCAAGCACCAGGGGGACTTTACTGTGAGTCAAGTACCTGTGCCACAGGGCTTGCACTTCCTAGAAAGTATGGAATAGGCCCATACTTTACACTCAAACAAAACAGGGTTTGGATGTCACACTGCCCATCAGTCTGAGCCAACAGTTCTCTGCTTTTGCTCCAAAAATATACTGGATGACAGGCACTGCAGAGACGTGGGGAAAAGATGGTGAGTGAACCAGACCAACTGAAGCCGAAGAGGTCTCTGTTCTCATTAGATTGGGCGGATCACCATGAAACACAAGCACAAATCATGAAATTACAATAAGTGCTAGGAAGAAAATAAAATAACTCACAGACAATGCATTTAGGTCAACTGGAAGGACTTTCTCTGTGGAAATAATATTTGAGCTGAAACC